GTGTCAGCAACCGGAGGAGTTCGTGATTACGGTTATTTGATTGAGTTGAGTTGATTTTTATTTAGCTAGTTAACCTATATTTATCCTACCCGGTCCAAAGAGCCTACGTTACAAACCTGAAAGTCCTCTTGATTCATTGTTTCACGAATTTGATTGTTTTAGAGTAGGAGTTAGACGATAGACAAATTTATGATTGATTCGACTGATGACCAATTTGAGTGTGTACCCAGTTGATATTTGAGAAAGAAATTGAGTGAGCCATATATGATACACTTCTATACTCGAGAGTTCATGTCATTCATAATAGCCAAGTTAATAGTTGAGATGTGCGCTTGTGATCATTTGAATTCTTCTTGACTTGATTGATTGGTTTGAGATTAGTCTTGCCTGAACCGTTGTCCTTGCTCATTTGTTTATTTCTTTTCTTTTCTTTTCCTTTCTTTTTTGTTCGGGACGAACAAAGGTCTTAGTGTAGGGGAGTTGTTTGTCCCATTTTTGTTGCTATTTTTGTTTATGTTTTGCGTGTTTTTTTCCCCTGTTTTAGGTCGTTTGTTAAGTGTTACCGGTCCATCTAGTCATTTTTCGTGTTTCTATTATTATCTAGTCGTGTTTCGTGTTTTTGTTTTCTTTTCTCCTATTTTCTCTTTCTTCTCGTGTTTTTTTCCATTTGTGGTGGTTCCAGATTGTCCCGGTTCCCAAGTGTTTCATCACAGTACATGCAACCGAACATGCGGAAGTTGAGTTTCCAGCTCAGGCAGTACCCGAGCAACGTTAGACGAGCACACGAGCCGAGAAAAGGCCATCTTTCGAGCTGCCAGGACCTTAGTGCCGTTAAGGCACCCTGGCTAGTGGCGTTTTCATTTCTAGCAACTTCAGCGTTGAACGGCTAAAGCACCTTAGCGGCGCTAAGGCCCGTTTTTTTATAACTGTTTCATTTTTTTTCGGAATTTTGAATTGGGGAGGCTTAAGGGTCGAGGCTAGGGCAGTTTCTATTCATTCCCCGACATTGTATTTTTGTTTTTTCACTCCAGAACCTTGTTTTCTCTTATCTTTCACTTAGAATCGATCTTGGATTGTGAAAACACCAAGATTAAGCTTTTGGATTTGGATTATTCGTGGATTTTCGACATTGGATTCGTATTTAATCGTAAGCTTCCTTTTCATTTTATTTATGAATATGATGGCTTGGATTGATGTGTATGTTGATGTTGAATTGACGATGAGTAGCTAAATTCGTTAACTAGGGCTAGGGGATAATTATTCCGGTTCGATTTTGTTTGTGTGATTATTGAATTGCTCAATCTATTCGAGTTGTGTTAAACCTAGGATTGAATTGATTGATCACCATTTTAATCCACTAAATCTATTCTTAGAACCGAAAGGGGAGGAATTGATTGATCTAGGCTCGTTTAGAATAGACTTGTTCGGAGACGTATTGTCTATGTGCTAATTGATTCGATTATTGTTCATTTACGCTTATTCTCTTGTTATGTGAGTTATTGAGAATGAATCTCTGAATGAGTGAGTATTTCGTGGTCTTTAGCCGAGTGATTGATTGTTGCTTAATGTATTGAGAAGCGGAAACGATTGTCCCCGACACCCTAGTCCCTTTTATCATTATTTGAATTGTGCTTTGTGCTGTGAGATCAGAATTGCTTTGTTTGAGAATTTTTCGTAGTTAATCTCGTAGTTGATAATCAAATCCAACCAATTGAATTAGAGTGTTTAGGATTTAATTTCTCTTTTTGTGATTGAATATACGTACAAGATAATCCGGCTGACCTTCCTTGAGACACGACCCGGTGTTCGAATCTTTCGATTCTACTCCGGTAAAAATAACTACAACACTCATTCAACGAAAATAGTATAGAAAATAGTATAAATAACATCCAAAGCAAAACATTCAATATATGCACTAGCAATAAGCACTGAAGTAGTACTAGTTGATGATAATTTGATTAAGTATAAAAATAGTACATATGCATTTTACTCCTTGCATTGTTATATTTTGAACTAAATGATTTGATTGAATCTAATTAGGATTTAATTGTTGATAAATGGGTGCATAACGTAACGACATACAAACACTTTTTTTTTTTCCGAGAAGATAGAGATATTTTTTTTTTCAAAACGATAGATATTATATCACGGGGAAATGACTGTACACAATACAAGTGCTGCAATACAGCAGAATAGGAGAATCACTAACAATAGTGATCTAAGAAAAGATAAACCAAAACTACATAAGTTTAAGGAAACCGGCAAAGACTAAGCCTCATAAGGCCGGCCCTTTCACTTGTGTAGGTGTACTAACAGAAAATATTACAACGCAAAAGATAGAGCAACCACTGATCAGGTGAACCTAGCAACTCTATCACTACTAAAACAGAAGCAACAGAACAGCAAAAGAAACTAGATTAACTATAGCAAAAGCTAACAAGAAATGAACTCCAGCCATGAGGAAGTAGCAGATTGGACAATGGGGTATTCCGAAAGCCAGAAATTTTAGAAAATCCACAAATTTCGGGCTTTCCAGAGTCACCATAGCACATACACTGATAGGTTCAGTCTTTGGGTGAATCTTGGAGAATGTCTGAAGCTGCAAATCTCAGTCCACCAATGCTTGAACTTAAAGGAGTCTTTGTCAAAAGCATCCTAGGAAACTGCAGCCAATTTCCAAACAAGTTTGGCTTTTTTGCATAGGAAAAGAGAGTGCTCAAGGGTTTCAATTTCAGCTCCACATGATTTGCAAATTGGGTCAATGTGTTTGAGTCTCAAAAGCAGTTGCTGGTTAACAGGAAGGGTGTTTGTGAAGCACTTCCATATGAAGTGCTGGATTTTGCCGGCTTTGTTAAGAGACCATATTTTATTCCTAGCTGCCTTGACTTTCCATGAGGAGTTGCTGCATTCAGGGACATCTAGTTTCCTTCATTTGTCTTCAATCAAACAGGCATATGCAGAAGCCACTGAGAAGCTCCCTGTTTTCCCAAAACACCATTTGAGTTTGTCTGTGCCATGAGGGTCAAGGTATTTGAGGCTTAGGATGGCTTGCCTCTCAGCTGCTGGAAATACACTTTGGACCAATTCCACATCCCAGCCTCTACCTGTATTGTTGAGAAGTTCATGGACCTGTGTGATCCTCTGCCTCCAAGGGTTATGTGGATTTGGTTTGAATGAGTGCAGCTCTGGAATCCATGGGTGTTCCCAGATGTTAACTTTGGTTCCCTTTCTGATGATGAACCTCACATTCTGGGAAAAGAAAGGCAGCACTTTCCCCCAATTGGACCACAACCAAGACCCACTGCTGGGTTTCTTGGCAGATAAGAGATGGGTGTGGGGTAGTATCTGGCCTTCAATACTCTGCTGACTAAAAGGTCGGGATGTGAGCAAATTCTCCAAAGATGCTTTGAAATGAGGGCTCTGTTCATGAGGTGGATATCCTGAAAGCCTAGTCCTCCAAGCTCTTTTGACAAAGTGATTGAGTCCCAAGATTTCCAGTGGATTGATTGAGTTCCATCTTTCTTGTTGTTCCACCAAAATCTGGCAAAGAGTTTAGCAATGTTGGTGCAGGTACCTTTGGGGAGTGCCTCCATGACTGCTCGAAGTAATGTTTCTTTGCCTGCAGATGAGAGAAAGCTAGATTTCCAATTTGACAGTTTATTATTCACAACATTTTTAATGTAGGAAAAGGTTTCTAATTTTGTTTTCCCAATGCCTAGGGGTAAACCCAGGTATTTAGTGGATAATTGAGGCTGGATTCCCAAGAGGGTCTGACAAATTTGGTCTTTGATGAGCTGGGGTGTGTTTTTACTGAAGAATATGAAGGATTTTTGGAGATTGACACATTGCCCAGTGATGCTATTATAATGGTTCAGGATTTGGAGAATTGCTTGGGCCTGAGACTGGTCAGCTTTGGTGAAAAGTAAGGTATCGTCGGCAAAGAGAAGGTGGGTGAGGGTCGGGCTGTTTCTACTGATTTTCAGTCCTGCAAATTGCCCAGTTAGAGTAAATTTCTTGATAATGTGAGACAATATTTCAGAAATCAGTATGAAAATGTACGGAGATAAAGGATCTCCTTGGCGAATTCCTCTGGAAGGCACTATATAACAACAGACCGAGCCATTAATATTAAAAGAAAAGGCAGCTGAACTCAAGCAGGCCAAAATCCACTTAACAAAATCACTATGGAAACCAAGTTTGTTCATGATAAAATTGATGCTTGACCATTCGACTCGATCAAATGCTTTTGACATATCTAGCTTAATAGCCATATAGTGAGATTGACCTATTCTATGCCTATTCAAAAAATGCAAGACTTCATGGACAATAATGACATTGTCAAGGATTTGCCTATTGGAAATAAAGGCAGACTAGCTTTCACTTATGCTAAGAGGAAGAAGAGGCTTTAATCTGTTGGACAGGATTTTAGAGATCACTTTGTAGGTGACACTGCATAGGCTTATGGGCCGGTATTGAGATATGGTGCTTGGTTGGTGAACTTTAGGAATGAGGGTAATGAGGGTATGATTGATGCCTTTTAGCATTCGACCAGACTGAAAAAAGCTAGCAATAAGAAGACACAAATCATTTTTTATAAGAGACCAAAAGTGCTGGAAAAAGAGAGAGGTCATACCATCTTGCCCCGGGGCTTTAGAAGGGGAAATTGAGAAGAAGGCTGCCTTAACTTCTTCCTCATCCATAGTAGCTATGAGTTCAGCATTTAAGTCTTCTGTGATCACAGGGGTAAGATCCTCTAGCCAAGAGTCAGCCCTTGTTGGTCCTTGAGTGGTAAAGAGTTTGTTGTAGAAGTCTTCCACACAGTGAGCTATGTCATCCATTGATTCACAGATTGAGGAGTCATCTCTAATGAGCCGAGAGATTCTATTGGTTCTTCTTCTTTGAGCAGTATGAGCATGGAAGTATTTAGTGTTCTTGTCCCCCTGCTTCAACCATGCTATCCGGGATTTTTGTGCCCAAAATTGTTCTTCCTGTTTATACGTCTAATTGAGTTGATTTTGAATGTCATCCCATAATTTCCAATCCCTAAGACCCCCTTCCCATCTCAGTTCTGTCAGCTTTTTGTGAAGGCTTGCAATCTTTTTAGCATTTTCAGTTCTGAAGTTGCAGCTCCACTTGAGCAGATCCATTCTAACTGCTTTAATTTTCTGTTGGAAGCAGAACATAGGTGTGCCCATCTGAAAATAGCTCCAAGCTTTCTTGACCACTTCCTCAAACCCTTCTCTTTGAATCCACCTTTGGTCGAATATGAATCTCTTTTTTTTGCTTTGTTGTTCATTGTTGGAGTTTAAGATGAGCATCCCATGATCGGAGGAGCTCAAAAAAATGTTTGCGACCACTGGATTACTATAGAGGGAGAGCCAGCCAAGAGAGCAGAATACTCTATCCAGTTGTTCTTCCACAAAGCCTTCATCTTGCCTGTTATTGGCCCATGTAAATTTGTGTCCTTGGATCCCCAGGTCATGCATACCCATAAGGGAGATGAAGCCATTGAAGCTACTGAAAGAGTTTAGGGATCTTGGTCTGCCTCCTTTCTTTTCTTCTGGGCATGTAGTGTCATTCCAGTCCCCTCCAGCGAACCAATAGTCTCCCCAATTAACTTGCTCTTGCAACAAGAAGTTCCATTGCTCTTGTCTTGTGTTGTTGTTTGTGCTTGCATATAAGAAAATGGCCCAGCAGGTTTTGTCCTTAGATTCATCCCAGAATTCCACTTGGAAGCAGAAGGAATTCTTCTTGATCTGAAATATATGCACATTTTCATCCCAAAGGAGTAGAAGCCCCCCACTTTTACCCTCAGGATCAAAAGCAGACCATCTATCTCCCAATCCTAATTTTCTACTAACAGTCTGTACAAATTTTTTCTTTTTTTTTTTCTTTTTTTTTTTTTTTGTTTTTGAAAGAAAGGCAAAAACTGGGTGGTGGAGTTTCCAAGACTCCTTGAGCTGGGAAATTGTAGAGGGCCCACCCAGTCCTCTACAATTCCACAACAGTGTCTTCATTGGTCAATTTGGGGCCATTTAGGGCTGGCCTCCCTCACCCCTGAGTCATTGGTCTTTTGCTTTTTGAGTTGCTGCTGCGTGTCTTGAGATAGTTGGTCTGATATGTCCTCTTCATTGGTGAGCTGTCTTTTAGAGGTGGTTGATTTTGAGGTTGTGATGGGGTTATTGGCTTGTTCTATCTTAGGGATTGGCTTCCTTTTCCATCTTTTGCAGGGACTAGCAGTGTTCGTCTCATTTGATCCCTTATCAGAGATTTCTGGGGATTGAGTCATTGAGATTTCCAAGCTTAAGGATGCTGTGGTTTCCATATTTTCAGCGAGGTCTAAGGGTGTGTGTGGTAACAATTAAAGGGGTTCCTGGGTAAGAGGTGCAGGGATTATTTCAATTTGAGGTTCTGTGAAGGATATAGGTTTTTGAGGTGGCAGTGGAAGTGTTTTAGGAACAGAAGGGAGCTGAACTGGGTTGCTGGGTAGAGGAGGTTGAGGTGCCGCTGGTTGATTTTGAGGTATAATTGAGGGGTTAGATGGGTTGGATTGAGATGTCATGTCTTTATGGGATTTGGAGGTTTGAGGGTACTCTACCTGAGGATTAAAGAATGGTTGGGAGTTCTGGAAAATGGGGTCAGGGGCTCGCAGCCATTCTCCAAAAGTGCATTCTTTTAGTTTACCTTCTCGGATGTCTGAAGATCTTTGCACACATATCCTGTCTAAATGGCCCAGATGTCCACAGTAGAAGCAGAGCCCTACCAGCCTTTCGTATTTGAATTGAACTACGGTTTTCGTCCTTCGAACTGTAGTGAGGCAAATTTGAGGAGGGGTTGCTCTAAGTCGATAGTGACCAATAATCTGAGACATTTGCCTGCCAGGTTTCCAGCTTGGGGTATCATCACATCTTTAATCTGTTTGAAGGCTTTGCCGATTTTGAGCCCGACTTTTGATGAAATCCAGTGTATAGGGATATTCCAGACTTGAACCCATATGTCGAGCTCCTTAAAGTCTTGGTGGGCGGCATTGATATCTTCCTTCCACTCTCTGAGAATGAGGAATTGGTTCTCGTATATCCAACAAGTCCCATTTCGCACCTTCTCCTTATCTTCAAGATTGGCAAACAGAAATTGGAAGTAATTAAAGCTGAGCTCTTTGATAGTTACCGGGGATGATATTTGCCATATATGAGCTAGCGTCCGCTTTAGACCAATGAGATGCACTTTTTTGTGGCCTATGATTTTGCCGAAGAGGCTTTTGGCACATTCTTCTTTGCTGCCCTGGATATCGTCTGATGCAAGGGGAATGATGGACGATTCTCGTTCCGATAGTTGAAAATCCCCCAATTTTTGGGCTAGTTCATCTTCTGCCATACTGAACTTCAGAGAGCTACTGTGGTGGAGAAGCGTGAGGCACCTGATGAAGAGGTGACAAAGAGACCAAAAAACAAAGGCTTGGAGTACAAAAAGGAAAAGGCAAAGGGGAAAGCCCGAAATTTTGAAATAAGAAAACAATAATGGAGAGAAGACGGGGTGGAGAAGACACAGTAACCTCACAAACTTGGAGTGCCAACTAAGTAAGAGGACGTGGCCTGTTGATGAAGAATTCGTGCTCCATGGGAGACTAATACTCTCTAATTGAAGAGGAATCAAGCCCTAATGCAAGAGATATTTTGCCCTAATTTTGAGAGAATATTTCGCCCTCATACGAGAGAATTCCAACATTTGTTGAATGATAGCAGATCGAGATATTATAAATCGCACAAAAGTGCAAAGAAAACCAACCAAAAGCTGAAAGATACAACCAATAGCTGAAAAAATGGGAGAATAAATCCGAAGATCGCCTAAAGCCTAACTAGCAACACTAGACCAACACTCTCACAACAGAACACAATACTACAAAGCTACCAAATAGGCGAACGAACGATCCCACCGAGATAATACCCGCTCTCACTCGGGCAGAAACAGAGGCCAAAGGACCAAGCAAAAAACACAAACCCTACCAAAACAAAGCAACAAACAAACGCAACTAAAAAACGAAATAAACTCAACTACGGCTAACAAACGGGCTCTTCCTCAGCAATTCAATCGAACGGAGCCAACAAACAAATAATCGACCTGTAGGTGAAATTAGTAGCCCGAGGAGCCGCCTTCGAAACTGCCGGATCGCCTAACTGAGACGGAAACCCAAGCCCCGAACCCTCCCTGAGAGCCGACCCGCCCCCTCGCCGAAGAAAACCACGCTCGCCCCCCACACCACCGCAACCCCGAACCAGCCGACACCACTAGCCGTAACGACAACACTGGCCTCCCCCGAACCCAACACCAGAGAACCAGGGGAGAGGGGAGCGAGAGAGTCGCCTCAGCCTCGGCCGCCCCGACGCAGACGACCGGAGCCGCCCGAGCCACTCCCGGCCCCTGAAGCCACACCCAACCCAATCGCCACCGCAAAATCAAGGAGGTGGACGACCAGACTGCAGTCCAGCACCAGCAATGGCGACCACCGCGGAAGCCCATCCACCGACACAACTGAGATGAAGAGACGCACATCAAGGCCCAGACCGTGCGGCTAAGGGCCTACCGCGTGCTGAAGGCTCGGCGACCACCGAGGAAGGCAGCCTAGAGATGAAGATTGAAGAACGACGGCGTAAGAAAGAAAGGGGGAGGAGAGAAAAATTAGGGCAAAAAATTGGGAAAATGTATTTCTAACTGCATACAGACTTATGAGGAAATTGCAAATTTGGTCCCGTTAGATTGGGGCGGTCGCAATTTTAGTTCTAAGAGGCGCAATTTCAGTCCTTAAATAATCTTTGTTGCGCAATTAATCCTAAATCTAACTGGCCGTCAAGTCACCGTTAGTCATTAGTTTGAAAAGGGAGAAAATTGCAAATATAATGTTTTGTTGCAAATTTAGTCCCAAATATTGAAAAATAGTTTTATTACTATTTTTTGATGCAATTTTTATTCCGTGAGTATATAACAATATTTGATAGTAAAAATTTAGTTTTTGAGACATAAAAAATAATAATTACTATACAATATTTCTATATTTAAAATTAATTTCTATTAAATAATAAATAAATTTAAAAAATAATAATTATTTAATTTTATTAGAAATATAGAACTCTAGAGGTTAATAAAATTTATAAATAAAAAATAAAAATAAAAGTATTATCAACTACTATTGGTTTGAAAACTCGGCAAACTTGTTGTTGAATCGAGAATCGTTCAACTAAACTATTTGATTCCTTTAAACAGATTGGTTTCCAATGAACCGATCAGAATTAGTTGAATGGACTGGTCAATAATATATATAATTTTTAAATAAGTTAATAAATATTTATATTTTTTAAGATAACAAAAATATAAGTTTCAATAATATATTTGAGAGCAGTGCGATTCTCTCTTTGAGAGCAAATTTTTTCTTGATCTTTGATGTTTGAGTGTTCCAATTTCGCTGATTTGTGTTTATGATATTTGCTATTATCTGAGATTCAGCCCCACTTTTAATAGCTTCCGAATCGCCCATTTTAGGGATCGCAGGAATTAGGGATTTGAGGCCATGACGGAGATTGATGACGAATTGGCTGGTCGACTAAAGGAGTTCTCGCTTTCAGCATCGGAAGCTAAAGTTTTTGACATCGCACAGGAAGATATCCGACTTAGTGACGACGAATGTCAGAGGAGTCTCTTTGGCAAAATCATCGGTGATCGCCCCGCTAGTTGGATAGGTATTAAGAGAACGATGACTCAAATTTGGAAGCTCCGACATCCAATGGAAGTGTAGGAACTGAGTCCAAATTACTTTCAATTCATCTTCCAGAATAGAGATGATAAGAAAAAGGTAGCCAGTGGAACAAGTTGGAGCTTCGAAAGCCAGTATCTCATTTTGAGAGAATGGTTCGACCAGATTAACAGCAAGCACCGTAGCTTCCAAGAGTTGAACTTATGGGTCCAGGTGCAGAACATTCCTCTAAATTGGCTAAGCACGGAAGTGGGACGCAAGATAGGTAATGCATTCAGGGCTCTTAAGAACGTGGTAATTGCAACAACAGGTAATCATGGAGGAAAGCTTCTCAGGCTGTTGGTCACTTTGAATGTTGATGAACCTCTGCCCAGACTAGCAAAAATCAGACTAGGGGATCAGATTGTGGACGCCTGTTTCAAATATGAAAAACTTATTAACCTGTGTCATTACTGCGGAAAGATTGGCCACCTTGATAGAGGCTGCAACTCCAAAATGGAGGACCTGAGAAACAATGCTCTTAAAGAAGGTCAGTACGGAGAGTGGCTCAAGGCTCCTGATGGTCACAAATGGACTCCAGTAAGCTTGTCAGATTCCAGATTTTCTCCACCCAATGAAGCTCAGAGAGACACAGAGGAAGGCACATCCAATAAAGCTTCATCAAGCCAACAAGGGAACAATCACCAATTAATCCCTAGCCACGATGATCTTCAGTCTCCATCCAAATCCATTGATGCTAATTCATTGATATCGGTCACTAAGACTCCTACCTCAGAAGAAGGTGTGGACACTACTCATCTCCAAATTATTGAAACTTCAGCCATGGAACTGGAGAAAGGAGACACTCTTCTAATGGTCGAGGGCACCCAAAATCACAAAGCAATTTATGCTCCCAGCACAAAACTCCCTAAAACATGGAAAAGAGCAGCCAATAGACTGGGTAGATTGCAAAGAGCTGAAGCCACACCTATCATCATAGACCAATTAACTAGAACCAAAAGAAGAAGAGCTGAGCAAGAGCAATCAGAACAGGAACCAACTGAACCAAAGGAGGATTCTCAACTGCCAGAACAGGATCATTCCAAAAAACTCAAATCAAAGGTGGGGGCTGCCAGCCTGGAATGGCACCACAGTGATAAATGTTAGCTGTGGTGTGGAATTATAGAGGGCTGGGTGGGCCCTCTACAATTTCCCAAATCAGAGAGCTAAATAGAGCTCATCACCCTCATTTTATTTTTCTTTCTGAAACAAAAAACCAAATGCCTTTGTAAAATCTGTCTGTAATAAATTAGGTTTTCAAAATAGATATGCTATTGTAGATCCTAAAGGTCTTAGTGGAGGGCTAGTTTTGATGTGGGATCCTAATGTTGTAATTAATCAGATTTCATGTAAAGACTTTGTAATAGTAGTAGAATTTTGTTTGCAACCCAACCATCCCCAATGGGGTGTTTTTGTGTATCTTAGTCCCTGCAGGTTGCTCAGGGAAGCTCAAAGAGAAGAGCTGTTGGTTGATAAGCAGCAATGGGGCAGCCACTGGTTCATTATAGGAGACTGGAATGATCTCCTTTCCAACTCTGATAAGGTGGGAGGCATTCTCAGACATCAATCATCCTTCCAAAGTTTCTGCAACTTCATCTCTGATATGGAAATGATTGAGATCAAATTTGAAGGCCACCCTTACACATGGAGCAACAACAGAACCCTCCCAGCCCTTGTTGAAGAAAAGCTAGACCGAGCCTTTGGCTCCCTGGACTGGGCTCACTCTCATCCAAATGCTGGGATTCTAAACGTATTGAGGACTTCGTCAGACCACACAGCCCTTCTGTTAAATATGGGAGAACCTCGGCTGAAGAAGAAATCCTGCTTTCAATTTGATAAGAGATGGATAGGCAAGGAGGGTTTTGAGGAAACTGTTCATAAGGCTTGGAAAACAGCAACCACTGGGACTCCTTTCTATCAGCTAAAGGAAAAGGTGAAACACACAAGAATTGCACTGCTAATTTGGAGCTCAGCCTTTCAAACCCAGAACCAGAAAGAGATTGTGGACTTATCCAAGAAATTGGAAGATTTAAATGCTGACAAATCTGAGAAAAACTGGGAGGAATGGATTGAAACCAGAAAGCAACTCAACAAGGCTCACTCTCAGGAAGAGTTGCATTGGCAGCAAAAAGCTAAACATAGGTGAATCAAGGAAGGTGATGCCAATACCCGTTTCTTCCATACCTTCACACTTGAAAGGAGGAAACTCAATGCAATTACCAGACTGCTCTCCCCAAGGAAGAGTTTACTCCACTCAGCAAGAACTGGAAAGCCACATATCAGATTTCTACTCATCATTATTCTCCTCTGAAGGCAGTTGGGGTGGAGACACCTTACTTCCTCTCATTCCCAAGACTATAACTTCTGACATGAACAAGGAGCTGCTCAGACCAATTGAGGAAGAGGAAGTCAAACAGGCATTATTCAGTCTGCAACCTGAAAAGTCTCCAGGTGGGGATGGAATGACAGCTACTTTCTACCAACACAACTGGAGCTTAATAAAATCTGACTTCATGAAAGCTGTCCATAGCTTCTTCCAATCAGGTACAATGCTCAAATACTGGAATCATACAGTCATCACCTTGATCCCTAAGTGTGTAAACCCAGACTAGTTGAGTCAATATAGGCCCATAAGCCTTTGCAGTGTTGTCTATAAAGTTATTTCCAAACTTCTTGCTCAAAGACTCAAAGCATGTTTAAAGTTCTGTATCAGTGACCACCAAGCTGCATTCATTGAAGGCAGACAATTAACTGATAATGTCATCATTGCTCAAGAAGCCTTCTATTTCTTAAATAGACATTCTTCAGGTCCTCATTGCTTCATGGCTATTAAACTAGACCTCATTAAAGCTTTTGACCGTGTTGAATGGCAATGCATCAAGAAGATTATGATCCAAATGGGTTTCCACTGAATTTGTGAGACTGATTTTGATTTGTGTGTCCACTGCAACTTTCTCCTTTAAAGTTAATGGATCTATATGTGGTTATGTGTCTCCTACAAGAGGAATAAGGCAGGGGGACCCTTTATCCCCCTACCTTTTCATCATTGTTGCTGAACTTCTCACTGGTCTCACCCTCAACTCCATAAATGCTAATCAACTGAAAGGGATGAAATTGTCTAGAAATGGTCCTGTGCTCTCTCACCTGCTCTTTGCAGATGATTCATTATTCTTTTGCAAAGCTGGCTCTGACCAAGCAGAATACCTCATGAATATTCTTGAGAAGTATAGACTCTTTACTGGGCAAGCAGTGAACCTCCAAAAGTCTGCAATCTTTTTCAGCAGAAATACATCTCCTCACATAAAGAACTCCATCTGCAGAAAATTGAATGGTATTGTCCCACACAGGTCCACCAGATATCTTGGCCTTCCATTGGGAATAGGCAGATCTAAAAAGGATGTCTTTGAATATCTTCTCATTTCTGTCAGATCAAAACTAACCTCCTGGACAGCCAAACTTCTTACTCCTGCAGGCAAAGATATGCTCCTCAAAGCAGTAATCCAGGCACTACCAGTTTATACTATGGCCTGCTTTCTCCTCCCTGTCTCTCTTTGCAAGGAAATTGCTAGGCTGTGTGCAAAATTCTGGTGGCAATCTGGAACAAACCAATCTCAGGGTATTCACTGGAAACAATGGAATCATCTCTCATTTCCAAAAGAAAAAGGGGGACTGGCTTTCCATGATCTGCAAACCTTTAACAAAGCACTGATCTGCAAGAAATTGTGGAGGATTGTCTCCAACCCTGATCTCCTGGTTAGTAAAATACTCAAGGATAGGTACTTCCCCAACTCATCTCTAATTCATGCTACAAAATCTCAGAGTGGTTCATGGATGTGGAATTGCTGGATGGAAGCCCTTCCTCTTTTTGCTAAGTGTCTCAAAATTGAAATCAGGAATGGCTGCAATACAAGAATATCAGATCTGAATTGGATTCCTAACCATCTGAAACCTACTCCTGAGCTTATACCAATTGCCAGGGGTCACTTAATCTGGGTGAAAGAGCTAATGCTACACAATGGCACACAGTGGAATGATTGGCTGATTAAACAAGTCTTTAACAAAGAGGACAGTGATGCAATTCTCAAAATCTCAACCATTAACCCTCTTAGACAGGACAGAATCTTCTGGGGACTAGACAAGAAAGGCATTTTCACAGTCTCAAGTACATATGCCTATCTCAACTCCATCAGGCTTCTTGCTATGGACTTACCAGAAAGCAGCTCATCCTCTAGTATCAAACCTTCCACTAAATTCAGACATTGGAAGACAAAAGTTGCTGGTAAAATCAAACATTTTATATGGAAATGCATCTCAACCACTCTGCTTGTTGCTACACAGTTGAGAAAAAAGGGACTGGAGCTGGACTCTACATGTTCAATGTGTGGGAATGCTGCAGAAACAATAGAACACTTGTTCTTCTCATGCCCTAGAGCCAGGAAAGTGTGGCAGCTGAGTCCTCTGCAATGGGATGGTATCACTGGTTTCACAGACTCCTTCAAAGCTTGGTGGTATCAGGTTTGTTCTCTAGACCATTCTGAAGTGGCTGAAGCTAGAATCCAACTAACAACGTACATGCTTTGGTGGCTTTGGAAGTCTAGGAACTTATGGCTCTTCCAACATTCATGGATTCCTGAACACACTCTCATCAAATTGGCAACATCTGACTGGGAAGACTATTCCTCATTTTCTTAGCTTGTTCTCTCTTTTGTTCTTTCCTTTTTCTTGCTGTTTGTTTTAGTGTAGAGTGTAGAGCTCCTTGCTAGGCTTTGAGGCAGTGGCTGGAGTCTCTACACTTTTTGTTTGATGGCTTTGGTTTGTAGCTATGTTGGTTGGTGTTGGTTGATGCTGTTGTTGGCTTTGGTTTGTAGCAGGCAGGTTGATTTTGGTTTGTAGCTTTCTAGTTTGTTCGGTTAGTTGGTTTGCTTGTTGAGGCTCTAGACCGCTTTTAGCGTGTCTCTCACTTTTCTAGTTTTTCGGTTTCGGTTTCCTTTGTACCCATGTATTCGAACTTTGTTCGTTTGAGATTTATAATAGTTATCCCTGTCGTTCCCGAAAAAAAAAAATAATATATTTGAATTTATATTATTATGTTTTCTGTATTTAAAAAATTTTCAATTAAATAATAAATATATTTTACAAAATAATTATTTAATTCTATTATAATTATATTGGTTGATAAAAAATAAAAATATAATTTTCGAGGTTAATAAAAATTTAAGACGTAAAATAAAAATAAAAATAAAAATAATATCAACTACTATTATTTTTAAAATTGAGCTAAACTGACTGTTGAATGTAGAATCGGTCAAATGGTTGGATTCCTTTGAACGAACTAGTTTTCAATGAACCGGTCAGAATTGGTTGATTGGACTGGTCAATATATATATATATATATATATATATATATTCAAGATCGATTAATAAATATTTACCAAACACGAAAATAAAATAATATTTCACTAATCAAATCAATTAAAGCAATTTTATATCCGCCTTATAAAAACTATCAATGGCACCTTATGATGCTTTTGTTTACACTATTGGCAAACAATGAGTAAAACGTCAATTTAAGTAACAAATAAAATACATATTAAACTGTCAAACTAAATTTAATTCACGGTCAGAGACATTGCAGTTAATTTAATACATAATTAAAAGTATGACATTTAATATTATATATATATATATATATATATAAATATATAATTCAAATACATTTAATAATATAAATGAGGAAATCGCAAATTTGGTCCCGTAAAATTGGGACAATTGCAATTTTAGTCCCAAAAGGCGCAAGTTTAGTCCCAATAATTAACGGTGACTTGACGGTCAGTTAAATTTGGGACCAATTGCGCAACAAAAATTAGTTAAATACTAAAATTGCGTCTCTTGAAACTAAAATTGCGACAGTCCCAATCTAACGGGACCAAATTTGCAATTTCCTCCGGACTTCTTAACAACAAAATAATGTATCATACTTTTGTATGAATAATAATGTCATTTTGAATAAGCGGCCCGATCCAGCCCGGCATTTTGTCAACAACAAAGCCCGTTCAAGTGTGAATCTCATTCAAGCAAAACCTCAGTTTCCTCCATTACTGAATTTTTCCCCATGAGAAAGCTTTCAGCTTGGGCTTGCAGGGTTTCACCTGAAATCCAAGACAATGCAGGCAAAATTAATAGCCCTAGAAAACCACAAATCCCAAAATCTTCTTCTGTACTAAAACGTGTTGATCAAAACCCTAAATCTTCCTTAACGGGTAAACTACAATCCGAACAATCGATTAATGATACAACTTCAACTCATCAAGTTCAACTTGCAGCTGCCGAGAGAAGATTCATCTTAAAACCCATCGATCATCATTATCTCAACGAAATTCTTTCGAGGAAAGACTGGTTTTTATTGCTAAACCATGAACTGAAGGCGCGGAGGCTCAACGTGAATGATCGGGTTGTGGTTAGCATTTTGCAGAACCAAGAAAATGCTTTATGCGCCTTGCGATTTTACGTTTGGCTTTCGAATTTCAGTTCTTCGCTTGCAAAGAACAAATCCATTCACAGTGCTTTAAGCAATGCCCTATGCAGAAAAGGTCCGCTTTTGTTATCTGGTGAATTGATACAGGAAATTAAGAACTCGGGGTGCCGATTAGATGAGGGCGTGCTCTGCGCTTTGATTGGTAGCTGGGGAAGATTGGGGTTGGCAAAATACTGTTCCGAGGTTTTTCAGCAGGTTTCGTATTTGGGGATTTTTCCTAGTACGAGATTATATAATGCGGTCATTGATGGGCTAGTGAAGTCAAATTCACTGGATTTAGCCTACCTCAAGTTTCATCAAATGGAGGTGGATAATTGTGTGAGGGATAGATTTACATACAATATTCTCATTCATGGTGTATGTAAGGCTGGTGTAATGGATGAGGCTCTTCGTCTAGTGAAACAGATGGAGGGATTAGGATACTTGCCCAATGTGTTCACATATACCATTTTAATTGATGGATATTTAAATGCGAGAAAAATAGATGAGGCGTTCAGGCTTCTTGGGAGAATGAAGACTAGGAATGTGAAGCCAAATGACGCCACTTATAGATCACTAATCAATGGCGTTTTTCGTACTTTGCCCCCTGTTCAAGCTTTTGAGTTGTTATCGAGATGGGTGAATAAGGAGCCCAATCTTCCTAAAGTTGTTTGTGATAGCATAATTTATTGTTTGTGTACTAATTCCTTACCTAAGCAGGCCGCTGAATTTTCAAAGACAGCAGGTGAACGGGGTTATGTTCCAGATAGTTCAATATCTAATATTGCCTTGACTTGTTTGATAAAAGGATTAGACCTGGATGAAGCGTGTAAGATGTTTGAGTTTTTCATTGAGCGTGGGGTGAAGGTGGATTTAAGTACTTGCCTGGCACTCATTGAGGAATTATATAAATCGAGAAGAGAAGAAAAGGGCAATGAGTATTTAAGCCGGTTAATCCAAAGAGGACATGTCGCTAATGTATTTTCGTACAATCTGATGATTGATTGCTTCTGCAAAGCGAAAATGATGAACAAAGCCATGGAGACTTTTAGGGTAATGTCTAAAAGGGGTATTTTGCCTAATCTTGTTACTTTCAATACCCTCATCGCAGGCTACAGTAAGGTTAGGGATGTAAAGAAGGCACGGGAAGTGCTACTTATGCTATTTGATCATGGTTTAAAACCAGATGTGTTCACTTTCAGTTCGATTATCGATGTTCTATGCCAGGTTAATCAGATTGCCGATGCTTTTGACTGTTTCTTGGAAATGATGGAGTGGAGGATTAATCCCAATGCAGTCACGTATAACAGCTTAATTCATTCATTGTGTATCTCGGGGGACATTTTTAAAGCAATGAGATTATTGAGAAAGATGAAAAGTGATGGGATATTGCCTGATGTTTATACCTTTAATGCTTTAATACAGAATTATTGTAAACTTAATAAAATCGATAAGGCCCAGAGGCTTCTCGCAAGCATGTTGTCACTTGGTTTGCGTCCAGATAATTTTACGTATGTTGCTTTTATTAATTGTCTGTGTCAATCTGGGAGGTTTGGTGAGGCCAGAGATTTGTTTTATTCAATGGAAGAAAATGGATGCAAACCTGATGCTTATACGTGCAATTCATTCATTGATGCCTTAGTAAAGTCTGGAAAATTTGAAGAGGCTCAAGATGTGTGGATGAAATATGAACAGAAGGGAATTATTTTGAAGCCGGTGCCTACAGAGTCCAGAGGCGTGGTTTGTTGATTTTTGTATGAAAGAGATAAAAGAGTTTGGGTTGCTTTTTAGGCAGATTGGCTTTGCCTTCCTATACAAATACAAGCAGAAAGTCATATATTTTAGAAAACCCGAGCTGTGTGGCTGGAACTCAAAGTGGTCATGCGATTCAGAGAAGGTGTTGTTTGGTACAGCGCTTTAGTAGGTATGAATTATGTATCTTTTGGAAAATTCTCTGGTGCTGTTTTTATTTTCCTTTCATTTTGTTTTGCTTTGTTTTTTTTTATGCAAATTTAGATCATTGGTTGCTCATTTCATCTTTTTGAGATCATTAAGTGGGCGCATATGATGTGAGGTGTGCTATGTGGCTTACTGATAAACGTGTTGAATGTTTCATGTTGCCAGAGTGTTTATGTCACATAATTTTTATTGCAAGCTGAGTCTACTTATAAGAGTGAAAGTGGCTAATGTTTAATCTATCTGATGTATAGAGAAACATGAGAAGTGAAGTGCACCTGAGCAGCACCAAGCCATTTGCAATCAATAAAACCACAATTTAAGTCAATACACTTGTGGATATTTGAGAAATCAACAATAAGAATAACCTGAATAATTTCTAAATTTTCGGTCAATCAATTATATAACGGAATGAATCATGAGAGTGTGTTATTATTAAGTGATGTGTTTGAATTTGCAGAGCTTATCTGGTTAGGTTTCCAATCTAAATCTTGCAATTTTTCGGTTTCGAATTTAAAAATGCTTGTTTATGCCTTTGCTAAGAAAACTTGGAAGGAGACATTTAAAAATGATTTAAAATATTTAAATGAGGATAATATGTGTTTTGATCGAGCACGATGGCGACATGAGATCCATATAGCCAACCCCACTTAGTTGGATTTTAACGGCTTGTTGATTGATTGATTGATTGATTGTTTATGCCTGTGCTAAATTGGTGTAAGTGTTGAGTGTTAAATTTGGTCTGCAATTTAGTGTTGTTGAGAATGAAATCTTCCTTGTTATATTAAACAATCATCAGTCAGAACTAAATGTTAATTTGTAGTAAAAGGCTTTATGTGCAGGTTTGATTTCCAGCAGATAGACAATAAAGTATGAGAGTTGGTGAGTTAAGTCCTACCTTCCATTCCTCATTGGCACCTTTATTTTGAATCAGATCGCTTATTAGCTTACTGTATTTTATTTATTTATTTATTTATTTTACTCTTCTTCTACAAGACAGTCACAACTAGATAAAATGTATCACTCTGGTTGAAAATTGGAGATGATAATTGTTCGATTTCTTTTCATTTATATCTATATATAGTTATATACTTGGCCTCTAACCTGGTCTGAAGTCATTGTAATTTTAATAGCAAGCATAATGCCATTCTCAGCATCCATTGACCATTGGCTTTTATTGTCAATTGTGTTTTACATCTTTGCTTCGATTTGCAAATTTGGTATGCATGTCGAAATTCCTTTGGAAATTACCTTTATAGTTATTTATGTTATATTTTATTCTTTATTTTTATTTCTTTTGATAGGAAGGGCGTATGAATATCCTCACTTGGGAGCTGCAGGAGTCGTTGCTGATGAGTATTTGCCTAAAGCAGAGGTTGAAGGAGAGACTAATCAGTTCTTTCCTGAATCTGGGATAGTAGGCACAAATCCTGCTCTTATTTTCAACAAAGCCATTGGATGTTTTAGCGACAAATATGTAAGTAAAAGAAAAAGTTGATTCTGAAAAACCACAGTAAAGTTTAGTCTAGTTACCAAAAACCAATTTAATATTCTTCTTAGTGTTATAAAATTCCCCAGTTAGAACTGAAAAAAAAAAAAGAATAAAAAAAAAAAATATATCTTTTGCAGATCTAACCTGATTATTAATTGTATTACTATATTGCAAATACTTACTTTAAATAATCTATCACAAAATCCTCCTTGATGTTGGCATTTTCTGAACTACTATCCTCCAAAAATGAAGAGCAAATTTGTTTGTGTGTGTAAAATATCAATAGAAGAACAACATTCGTGCAGATATACAGCCGTTGTAATGAAGATCACAGGCTCACTCAAAGTGGATTGCTCAATGTTCCAATTGGATACACTGATGAATATTGTAATGGGCCATGTTTAGGAGAGACGAACCACGTTTTAGACTGCATTGGTGGATTCCTAAAAGGGTTCATATTTTATAATAAGGCAACACTAAGAGATATAAGAGACACCCTCGAGTCTGGATGTGGCTATGGACCTTTAAGAGGTAAATTAGCTCTTTGATGAGATCTGTTTTCATTCAGTTTTGTGTAATCTAGGAGCACTTTTGTGAGTGCTTTGAGTTCTTACAGGCAACTTTGATGTGGTTCGGAATATTGAAGCCGGTGATGCCAGCAAGTACAAGGCGTCTAAGCATGTCGTTTATGCACTCGTGGTGATGATTATCGGTTGGAGATTAGTGATCTAATTCATGCTATATTCAGTGGAACAAATTCTTGATTTTCTCTGAGATGATTGCATATGCATACATTATATGTGTATATGTATTTGTTACTAATGTCATCTAGTACGATACTCGTGTACTAGATAAGTACTTAAATATATTAATATTTGTATAATAAAAAAATAGAATAATTTATTTTTATTGTGAAATTATGTACACTTAATGTACAATAATAATAAATAGCTAACAAAGTGATGATTATTTAAAATGGCACTCGATTTCACACTAAAATTGCCAAAAAATAATAATTTTTAATCATATGTACAAATTTAATATTATTTACAATTTTATAAATTTGATTTTAATTTTTTGTTTTAAAAACAAATCAAGTTTTATTGTATCATGATTATATTTTATAATTATAGCGTCAGTGTCTCTTGTTTATTAATTTTTATGTATTTTAAACTCATAATATTTTATAATTTAGATATAAATCAAAATGTATAAATATATTATTTTTTTACTTTTATGAAATATAAAATTACTTTTAATTACAATATTTCTTTTATATTTATTGTTTAAACATAATAACATTCAATTGTTTATATGACTTTTTTAAAGTAAAAAAGTAATAGTTTAGAATATTTTTTAAAATTTATTTGATGTAATACTTAATTTCCACATATTCTCCAAAATCTATGGGAAAAACACACTAAAATGATTATTTTATGGTATATAAATGAATTAAATTTTATTATTTTATAAAATAATTTATAATGTTATTGGATATTTTGGATATTTTTAAATTTGGTTTATTACATATATGAATTTTGTTAGTAACAAATATGAATTTTGTTTTGTTATAAAGATAAAATAGAAGTATTTTTTATTTTTTATATACAATATGTATGTCGAATAGAAAACGTTAAAAGATTATTTATTTAATATATCATATATGAAAAATAAAAAACAAATAAAAATGTTATGAACTTTTCAAAACAAGAAGAATATATATGTGTAGTAATTAATATATGAACCAAATAAGAAAAAAGAATAGCAGTATAGGGTACTTTAAAAAAAGGAAAAGACAAAATAGTTTATGACAATTCCTAGGCCTACTTATCAAAACCAAACATGTAAATAGGCCAATATGAAACACGAAGTTATGTCGAAAGGCTTATGAAGCACGCGTGTATGTTGCTATGGCTCAGTGTACTCTGAAATTATATATTGAGGATTTTTGTTGATGGCATTTGGTTTATTCTCCTTCTTTCTTCTTTTTTTCCATCTATTGACTAATTTATTCTATTTTTTTACTTATTTGAATGAGATCAATGTTGCGAAATAAAAAATAACGATTACTCAATCACGTGCACATAACATATGCAAATAAAATATTGTAAGTCACATTCATTAATATTATAATTATAAGTTATATATTTTAAAATGTCACGTTTTATAAATTTGTTCATTAGTAAAAGTGAACAAAGTAATTATAAACTATTTTACTTATATATAAATCACTATATAGATTGCACAAAATATAATGAATAATCTAATCTCTACAAACATAAAGTATCATGACCAATTTATTAGTTGACAAAATTATTATTATTATTATTATTATTATTATTATTATTATTATTATTATTATTTACGCGATTTTAAGGGATTTGCTATTGCACTAAAACCAATTAACTATTTAAAAAAATCTCTTGATAAGATAAAAGGTGATAATATTAATTTTGAATAAATACCTTAAAGAAAAAGATTTGCTATGGATTTCTTATGAACTAGTGCGTAACCTGTGCGATGCAAGGGCTGTATTTATTTATGAGATTTTATAAATTAAAGGCTATTCGACAATAAAAGTTATCATACACAGTGCATTTATCCAATTATAAAAGATTCGAGATAAAAAATATATATACTATTCAAGATAAAAAAAAATATATATCCAATTATAAAAGATTCGAGTAAAATAACTTCATTGATAAAAATTACGTCTAATATTAATTAAAGAAAATGGCTAAGATTCGAGTAAAATAACTTCATTGATAAAAATTGCATCTAATATTAATTAAAGAAAATGGATAAGAAAAAAATTTGATAATCTACTTTTCCATTGTTAGTTTCTTGTTTAATGAATATTCGAGAACATTCTTGTATGGTGAATATTTTGATGGCTTTAAGAAGAGGCGCACAATTCAAAAATTGATCTCTGTTGGTCTTAGTGATATGCTTGATATACACTACAACATAGTCATTTTTTGTTTTTATTTTTTATTTCTTCTTTCTGCTGATATTAGATCACTGTGTTGTGATAGTGAATTAGAAAATCAAAGGGAACGATCCTTTTATAGACAAATATAAATGATATAGACGTTGAAGATGATAAGGTGATAACGCCATATTATGATCCATACGTTCAACTTGATAAGATAGAATAAAAAATATTTAAATTTTGAAATTTTGGGTTATTTTGTCGATTTTTTAGGTGTGTAAGACGTTCAAATAATAAGATTGTTTTTTGCATTCTATTATTCCGCAAATTTGGGTTATGAAAATTGAGATTAATGAACAACGTTTATCACATGGATTTAAAAAAAAAAAAATATGAGTATATGTATTAATATATATTTTAGATAATTTTGTTACCTTTAAATTGGATGAAAATATCTTTCGCAATATATTTAAATATGGGAGCTTGATATATATATAAATAGCAGAAAAAGTATTTAAAAAATGCACTCTTAGTTTATTCATGACTCCGTTAAACAAAGTCCATAATTACTAAAATATGAAATGGAGATATTTCTATTATTTCGATCGCACATCAGTGTTATTAAATAGCGGCCATGGCGGCGCCATGGCGGTATGGCGTGGCTGATTTTAGCCTGGCCGCTATGTTATGGCTGCCTTGTGGCGGGTTTTCAATGGCGGCGCCATTGCGGCCGCCATGAGCATGGCGGTGAGGCGGTGATGGCGTGAAATTGCGGTTTCTACCCAGATTCATGCCTAAAAAGAAAGGAAAAGTAATGGGAAATTTTGACCTGTGCTACACGATTTTTAGATAATTGCAATATTACCATCCATACCAATTAAATTGTGTATATACCTAAAAGATAAATATTAATTATAATCATGCCTAAAATCAGTTACAAGGTAAGTGGAACAACCTTCCATGTTCCTAGCGCGTAATTTCAGGAAATCGGGCAAAGAGTACGAAATTTCACGAAATCTTCATCGCCTATATATATTGCTTTAACATATACTGCAAATATACTGTACATATACCATAATACAGAAAAAATCTGGTTCATGTATGGAAAGATTATATCTCCAAAATAATATGAGCAGTTCTGATCGACATGTGCATCCCATAATTATGTTTGGAGTGGGAGATCAGGTTTTCATGTAATAGAAGAACAAAAAAGAAAAAAATATAATAGATAGAGAGGTATATTTCTTGATCGGAATTATGTTTCCATGTTCATTTTTTTATTTTGTATTTTTTGTTCTATCTTGATCATTCATTAAATGGATTTTTTTAGTTTTAATTGGTATATGTATCGATTTTTTTAATGGTATATATATGATTTTTTTAATTATTATTAATGGTATATATATCGTTTTTTAAGGATATATATATCGTTTTTTTTTTTTTTAAAACATTGCTCCTTTGAGAATATACCGAAAATATACTGAATATAAACCCTGACTTTAAATCTTTAACGGTAGAATATACCGAGAATATACTGATAATATACTGTCGAACGTCTTCCTGATAATATAAACCCTGGTCGAAATTTGTTCTTATTTTTTGGCAGGGATGCGGGTCATATACTGTACATATACTGCATATATACTCTTTCTCTCTCATCATCGTTCACCTCATCGTACAGAAATCTCAGAGCTCCCAACCTTTGAGAAATCGTTCAGAAGATAATCCCAAGCCCTTCTCGGTTTTGCCTTGTCGTCACCCCTTACCCAACTGCCCGTACTAGCCACCACCGCCGGCGACGACAACAGCGCAACAATAGATTTCCCATCGCCATAGATTCTCTCAGATTTCGGCAACCCTCTTCGTCAGCCCCTTGCCGGTGAACCACAATCAGTCATCATCTCAGCCGCGTTTTTAGGAGGGCTATCGAGCAGTAAGGTTGATCTGCTTCATAAATATGTAGAGATTTTTTTTTTTCCAGAATGAAACGGTAATTTAAGCGGATAACAAGGGGAGGGCGTTGGAAAGGATGTGATAACTTATTTAGACATTAATCTAATTAAATATGTTGATTTAGGTAGATATGCAATTATTTTAGTTACTATGGTAGAGTTACAAAAATTGAGGAATCTTCTCGTATGAGTGCAAAATTCTCAAAAGTAACTGGGCCGGCCCAATTTTGCCAAAATTAGCCCAGATCTGCATTTGGATCTGCTGAAAAATAAATTAAGAAATCTCTAACCCTAATTTCTGCGAGAGAAAGATAAAGGAGTAGACCCATCTTCCGGCGACCCTTCTTCCGGCGACCTATCTTTTCTATTTTTTTAAATTTTTCCTTTTTCCCTGTTTGTTTAAACCCTACCTTCTCTGTCCCTCTTCGTTTCAACTTCACGACTTTTGGCTGTCCTATTTGTTTGTTTTTTTTTAATATTCTTTTTTTACATTAATACAAAAAAGTCAGTTTTTACTTTACTAATGTTTACCTTTTCAGTTTTTTACTTATTTTTTTTAGTTTTTCAGCTCTTTCTTCTATTAAAAATTAAATACTAGCCGTCATTTATATTTGAACTCTTTATTTATTTGTTTTGCTTTAATTTCCTTGCTCTTCCTTAAGAAAATATTAATGTTATTTTTTTATGTATTAATTGACATGATTTAAGCTCAAAAAATATTATATTTTTTGAGTCCGCCATTTTCCGCCACGCCATATATGGCGGTTTTTTTGGCTTTCCGCCATGATCCGCCATCCGCCATTAATAACACTGTCTCACATATGCAAATACAAAATAGATGTATTTCAATTATTTCAATCTCAATTATGTAAAGAAACTAACTCAACATGTATCAAGTTAATTAAATGAAGTCCATACTTAAAAAATGCCAAATCAGGATTTTTCTGTTATTTTGAGTTTAAAATCGTAGAGAAATTGAAGCCAACACGTATCAAGTTAATTAAATTTTGCTATTTCGTGTTAAATTTGCTAAAGAATTTTAAGTCAGTGCATATCAAGTTTGGATTAAGATTGAAGCCAACACGTATCAAGTTAATTAAATTTTGCTATTTCGTGTTAAATTNAAAAAAAAAAAGAAAAAAAAAATATTTAGGATAAAATTGTGTTTTCAAAATTATAATTATTTTAGTAATGTAATGCATGTATATGCATTCCTTTTATATTCCTTTTATATCTTAATAGGAATCAGTTTTTGAAATTAAAGGAATACAATGAATTTTACTTTTCTAATTTTTATGCCTTCTTTTTTAGGAAGTCCAAAATTATTTTGCTATATGTTGTAAATCTTATTCTAGATTTAGCAAGTCATGTCTGGCAAAAGACCCAAATTACTATTCACAAATTACTCAAATGTACCAGTTAACATGTAGAAAAAACATAAAATGTGATTACCAACCAACCTCTGCCATTATTTACAACATAAACATAAGAACTTAACATAGTAACTTACAAACCTCTGTTATGTGGATTATCTTCATCTGAGATCATCTGATACATACATGTTCTTCATGCATTTGCTCGACCATTTCGCTATATGCATAGTGATAGTGCTACCAAAACTGTCTTTGTTCATGCTCAAGTAATCGGACATGAGTTTCCCACCGTGCTTCTCATCCCGTCTATCAGAAAGCACCATGTCGAACCCAATGCACCTAAGAAGAAATCGGCCTCTGTCGCCATCAAGAAGTTCACAAGTGGGTAATTACTGCTCGTCTCTCGACCGAGGCTCGATTCGTAAGCTGCCATCAACATGTTCCCCGTTTGTCGCTTCACGTTCGTGTAGTAAAATTTATGGTGCCACTCGTAGGATTTAGATCTATTAATCACATCCTGATGAACTTCAATGAGTCAGATCCAATTTTTTAATCAATAGATAATTAATTTTTATCTCGGATTCCAAAAAACAAAAAAGTTACGAATTTTACGCGACCTGCATTTCGGTAGAAAGCCACACATTCTTGAAGTGTGGGAAGCGCGCCCGGACTTTGTTCGCCAAACGCATTATTCTTCAAATCCGAAAAGGTCATCTCACACGCCTTGTCTCCCATCCTGACGTGAATGCTCAATAATGGCCGAGGGACCCAAAGGTTGTGATTAGACCACACGAATTTTTCCATATCATGCTCATTTCTTCTCAGATTCTGCAAATAATAGATATAACACTACAAATAATAATCAAACATATTTTTGTCATATATCAAAGATTAAGGTGATCAGCACCTGAAGCTATGTGTATCTTAATAAGCCAAAATTCAGATTAAATGCAATAATGGTGAGATGAACCTCAGAGGATAACTCGAGAACCATGTTTGCAGCTTCACGTCCAAAGGCACTGTGGCGGGCCTTGTTCATAATGCCGCACGTGTACTCGGTCTGAAACCTCATCAGGTACCGTATAGCCTAAAGCAGATGATAAAGATTTATTTTCACTCCTTTTTGTCCTTTTCTTTTTTTAATAAGAAAGTCGAATTTTTATCAATAAAGTCGCACTTCACCTGAGCTTGCCACCATCTACGATCCATTTTCCGATGACGAACAATCAAGGTCCTGTTAATCTCGGTGGTTGGTTGCATGCTACGCCAAGGACTGCCCCATACCCTGAAAAAGTGTCACTACATTTTGTTGCGACATATAGCCCTTTTAAGAAAGATTTATCAACTCACACGTAAAACGTTAATCATACCTAGGTATCCTCCCAGACCATATGTCTTTTGAAGTATAGTTCTCTTTTCCTGTAATAACACCTGTCTGCCATGCTGTCTTGTCGTGCACAAGCTCGTAGGCTCGTTTTCTGCACTCGAGTGGAGTCTGGAAAAAAGTAACAGGACCAACTCGAACGTGATGACCCTAGAGAGAGAGAGAGAGGTAAAAAAAAAAAAAAAGAGCAGTTCGAATTTCTTAAGTCGCTCAACTCAGAAAATGCAATTCAAATACTTTGAACAAAATGTGAACAAAATGCAATCGTCATGATCGGCTCTGTTATAGTAACCGGCTATTAAAATTCTCTTCTCGTTTATTGCAATAGCAAGTAGACCACACATTCTGGCTAGCTATGCTCCAATACCAAATCCAGGCAATTTTTCCCAGTCGGCCACTAAGAACTTCACGCCAACAACACTCCAACTTCACGCCGACAACACTCCAATCTCAAAGAACTCCACTTCAAACACCTCTCACCATAGAAAAGGAGAAAAAAGAAAAGACAAATAAATTATTGTTGGAATGTTTTTACAGAAGAACATACATTAGTAGCAAAAATATTTTCACCCATCACCTGAATCGATCCACGCTTACATGATTAACATATTTTGGGATACAAAAATAAACCATTTTTTTTTAACAATAGCAAAATCACAAAGAGGAGCTAAAAGACGAACTGAATTTCACCTTATCAAAGTTATCCCCCACTCAAAATCATTCTTCAAACCAATTAAGATAATTGTGGATTAGCAGCAAGAATCAAATCATGACCAACATAAACAAATTCTAGTGACAATTGAACAATTATAAACCCACTTATTGTCACAACATAACACAACTAAATATATATATAAACACACAAAATCCATATATTTATATGGTAATTGGTAAGTCAACAAATACTCAGGAACAATGGTCTTTTATAGTTGATGTATGTGAGGAGACAAAATAGAGTTGAACATGGGGCTCTTTGTTTAAATGGGACAGTCAAAGGGGTCATTTATTTAAATGACCCTTTCAACATTTTATTTGTTTAAGTAACCTCTTCTTTAAATAAAGTTAAATAAATATTGACAATACCTAAAATACCCTTAAGTATTAAATGTCTATAATGTCCTTCTTCTATTTTTGGTTACCACCTTTGCAATTAAAAAATAAAAAAAAAAAAAAAAAGAATCATAATTTGATCTCTCGTTAACTTCTGTCCGCCCGCTTCTCTACGTTGGCCTCTCTCTGTCGATCGACTGCTCCTCTCTCTCTTGCTCTATTCTATTGAAAAGGTGAGAACAAAATATGATCATTACACATAAACTTTGAAAATTCCATATTGCAAAACAAATATGGTGATTGTGGAATTATAGCATGTTAGGGTTTATTGTTATTTTAGAGATAAAGCATTTTGGTTCATATTTTATGATTGATAAACATGTTGGTTTCATATTTATCACGTTTTTGTGGCATTGAGATTTTTTTTTTAATTTTTTTATACATAACGAATGTACAGTCGTTATGTAGTTTCATAACGAATGCACATTCGTTAGTTGAAGAAATTCTCATAAGGAATGTATATTTGTTATCTAATTATATCATAGCTAATGTAGATCCGTTATTTGACTTTATTTCATAAGGAATGTAATTTCGTTAACACATATCCCATTGTAATTATGACATATCTTAATATAGATCCGTTATTTGATGTTTATTTCATAAGGAATGTAATTATTTATTTTCAATTATGACATATCGCAATGTAGTTTCGTTATTATACTTTGATATGCATTTTGGTTTCATTTTGATTTTCATGTTTTATGCGCTATTTTTCCACAATTATCTTGTTGAAGTAACATATATTTTTTTCTTGTAGATATTTCTTTTAGCAAAGATGGTGTGGATACAAGTATGCCACTATGTTGAGTTTAAAAAGAGTACGGATGGCACTTGGATGTGGAAATATTTGAATGAAAATGAAGAGAATGTCAATCCTATTTACGTTCGCGACGACATATCTTTCTTGGAGCTTGAAGATGCGGTCCGGAAGCTCATGAAGTTTGATAGCATCTCACACGTAATAGAATTGCGATCACTGAACCCAAGAATGATGAAACTTCCAATTCCAATCCCCCCTGTGAAGATCGATTCTGATGACAAAGTCAAATGGTATATATCTGTTTGTGACGAACATCCTCTTTGCGTAACACTTGTCGAAAAACTTGTTGAGGAAGAAACGAACAATGTTGAAGTTGAAAAAAATCTTGAAGTTGAAGAAGAAACAAACAATGACAATTTAGAGGCGATCGAAACACTTACATGGGAAAATGAAATTGACGAGCCGCTCGAAGGTCAATGGGACATTATGGTGGAGAATAGAGATAGCCCTATGGAAACAAATGTTGAAGTTGAAGATGAAAGAGGAGCCACTTTGTTGATAGAACAGGCGCGTGAGAATCTTTCAACAGAATATGCCATGGTTGGGAATGCAAGCTGCTCTATGAGTCCTCTCCATTGTCCATCTTCTGTGATGATCCCAGAGAATGAAGATGTGCAATGTAACAACATCTTCTCAACCAAAAAGGAGTTGGTAGATAAACTTTTGTTGTTGGCCGTGAAGTACCACTTTGAATTCCGAGTGATAAAATCGACGAAGACCTTGTATGTAGTTGCTTGTATTGAAAGAAATTGTCCTTGGCGTTTGAGAGCGGTGAAGATAAATAGTGGTGAAATTTTTGTAGTACGTAAGTATGTTGGTAATCACACTTGCTCTATGAGTGTGCGTCGTAAAGATCACAGGCATGCGACGTACAAGCTGATTGGGAAACACATTTCCGAAAAGTATAAAGACGTCAATCGGATTTATAAGCCGAGGGATATTATGTTTGATGTCCAAGAGAAGTTCGGGATAACAATAAGCTACACAAAAGCATTTATGGCAAAGCATCATGGATTTGGTCTCATTCGAGGTTGCCCGGAAGAAAGTTATGCAAAGCTCCCTTCGTATTGTTACTATTTGGAGCAAAAAAATCCTGGGACGGTCACTTTCATCGAAACAAGTGTGGATGGCCATTTTAAATATTTTTTCATGGCTTTGGGACCGTGCATTCGTGGATTCCGCTCTTCTATCAGAAGAGTAATATCTGTAGATGGGACGTTCTTAACGGGGAGATATCGTGGTACTTTGCTCATTGCAACATGTCAGGATGCAAATCTTCAAATTTATCCACTTGCTTGGGCAATAGTAGACTCCGAGAACCATCTTTCTTGGACTTTCTTCTTTGAAAAGTTGAAAGATATAACAGGTGATTCTCCAGATCTTGTTATAGTTTCGGATAGGGGATCCAGTATTCCTGGTGCTTTTGTTGAAGTGTTTGACCATGCACATCATGGATATTGTAACTATCACCTGTTGAGAAACCTAAAATCGGAGTTTCCAAGATTGGAATTAGATGCATTGTTTTGGGCAACAGCCGAAGCATACACGATGTCTCATTTCGAAAGCAACATGGCAGCATTATGCAATAACCATGAGAAAATGCGGGAATACCTCGAGAAAGCCGAGTTGCACCGTTGGGCTAGAGCACATTTTAGAGCAACTCGTTTCAACATAATGACGACAAACAATGCTGAATCGTTGAACTCTGTGCTAAAGCGTGCTCGAGAATTTCCTATCCTTGGTCTGATTGAACATATCCGGGCGACACTGCAAAAGTGGTTCTACGAAAGAAATCTTAATTCTACAAAATGCAGTAGTTTTCTTACCCCACCATTTGAGCAGAAGATGCGCAACAGTTATGACCAGTCCAATGGACTAGAAGTGCTCAATGTATCCCCGATGATTTTTCAAGTTGGTGGAAGACATATAGTTGATCTCGAGCAAATGTTATGCACATGCCGGAAGTTTCAAATGGATCTGTTTCCATGTGCACATGCCATTGCCGCAATAAAATTGAATGACAACGGCTACAGATTCTGCACTGGAATGTATTCGAGCGCTTCTTGGAGAGAGGCATATTCTCAACCTATTCACCCTCTTCCTAGTGAGACCGATTGGATGGTTCCGGAACAAATTATGTCAAGAATTGTGTTGCCGCCACTCACACGACGTCCAAGGGGCAGACCTACATTCGAACGGAAAAAATCAGCAGGTGAGGCTCGAAAAAAATCAACTTCTAAACCTCGCCAAATGCGTAAATGTAGCAGGTGTTCAAAAACCGGCCATAATAGTGGAAAGTGTGAGGAGATAAACCTCAATCAAGCGACGTGAGGTTATATTTTTTACTAGTGTATTGCTTTTGACTTATAGTGTTTTCACTTTTGGTATAGTGTTTTGATTCGGCCATGTAGTTGCTAAAGCTTGAAGTTGTATTTTGACTTGTGTATAATGTTTTATGTGTATCCAATGTATTGATTATTCAAATATTTTACCAATGTAGTTGGAAACAACTATAGTCTCGTTTTATAGTTGTATATAGTAGTATTACACTAAAAAAGGCTAAAAATATAATTAGAACTAAAGTACAGTCGTTATGAAATATGACATAACGAAGGTAGCTTAGTTATCGATATCGCGGACGCGACATCTGTCACGGGCGCGACACAGAAGCTGTAGATCGGTCGGGCAGAGAGGTTCCCAGGTTGTCGCGGTCGCGACGGTTGTCGCGGGAGTGACACATTGTTGTTAATTTTTGGACAGAAAGCTGTCCAGGAGGTCGCTGGCGCGACAATTCTCGCGGGCGCGATAGGCGTCGCTAGCGCGACACCAAATATCGAGCTGCAGAAGCCCGCGAGGGCCCGTCCCGGGCGCGACACTATGTATGTCGCGGGCGGGCGTAATTTTTTTTTTTTTTTTTTTTTTTTTTTTTTTTTTTATGAAATGTGAAATAATGATACTTGTTTTTTTTCTTTTGAGGTCACGACATTAAAAGTTGTTTTTCTTTTGTTTTTGAAAAACGGATATATAATGTAGAATCGTTGTTTATTCTTTATTTTACACTAAAAATGAGTACAAGTAGACCTATAACGAGTTTAATATTTTTATAACGTATTATATGACGAATACACGATCGTTTTAAGGTGGATTTTGTCAAAAAACAAAAATAACGACTGTACATTCGTTATAACAAATATACATTCGTTCTAGTTGTTTTTCTTAA